TGCATATCTACAATGTGTTTTCTTATAATTATTTGCTTTTTTGATTAATTTAGATAATACATCATCAAGGTATTTCTGTATGCCATCCTTTTCTATTGGACCTGCATGAAATGAATTTTTTGTGAATGATTTCGGGATTCGTTGAAAGTTATTTCGTTTAGAACTAAGTAGTCTAACGTCGTTAACTCCTTTTTCTATAGAAACTACCAATTCTACCAATTTTTTAATAAAATTGTTAAGTGATTTTATTAACTTTTCATCGAAATGTCTCTTAGATTCTACCATTAAGTTTAATATATAAGAAGTAATAACGATTATTCTTTCAGAATACTTACAGTAAACAATATCTGGCAAATTATGTTGAAATTGTACAAGGAACTTATGAGCTTCAGATGTCTCATCTTCAACATTATGGGCGTTTAAAAAATTAATTGCCTCTTGTATTAAGGAATCATAGGACATAAAATTCTCTCCATCAAATTTAATACTGACTCCATGAAGTAGTACACTTGCCCGAGAGTAAACAAAATTGAGAAGAATATTTTGCATGGTAACACATGAAACTTTATGAGTATAATATAAAAGGTTTAACATCAAATAAAGGCACCATGTAGTTTCAATCATCATTTTTAAAAATTTTTTATTAGAATTATATAATATACAATAGAAAAATGTAGTCTAAAGATGTTTAAATGTTCATATTTAAGTAATCAAAGAATAGCCCCATTATTTGTATATTTAAAAATAAAATGTCTACTTATTTAAATAAAAGTTTTATAATGCCTTATACCTTTATTCTTAGCAGTTATATTTTTAAATAATTGTCTTAAATAAATTTTTTCAAGTTTGTATACATAAAAATATTTGAAAATAGTTTCCGAGAAAAAATCATAATTTAATCTATACATCATTCAATATCAGAATACTTATAAAATCTTCTTAAATTAATTTTAAAATGGTAGCCCATTATGGTCGTTAAGCAGTATAGATATTGTTAGATACACAAGAGGGCATTTTTTACCGATTTTGCTGTGACTGATAGCGTCACTCGCGCTGCCACCACCGGTTGTGCGAGGAATTCATTTACGTTGGATGCTTACGTGCGTGATATCTTGTGACTCGCCTAGTGTATTATCGGTCCTTGTGTGACGTTTTTGCGTTTTCGCTGCCACCCTCATGCGTTTTGTTGTATTGCTCAATGGTGTTTGCGAGCACGTAGTTGGTAAAAACGCCTATACATCGCCTTTGCGATTGTCGCACCTTTGTGCATTATTGTTTATCGCCCTTGCGATACACCCATACTATTCGCAACAATACATTTTTCTGGTTCAATCATCATTCCAACGATTTCATTCGCATCAACCAGTCATCATCAGTATAGATAAGTAGTTATTAGTTATATCGTTATGTTTTATATTTATCTTATTGTTTGTTTTATTTGACGCATTGTTGCATTAGCATTAATGACCCCCCTACCCACATTGATATATATAATATTTTAGTTTATGTTAAAAATACAGTTTATTGTTTTATATTCGTTCAATACATTTACTCATTTATACAGTCCACTCCCAAATTCTTTCTCCTGCATGATATAAATACTTCATAAACGAACAGTAACTAACCCGCATATTATAACCGGGCGTTCCGTTCAAACAGATATGGTATATTAATAAAAAATCTAGCTCAGTGGGGACGTTGCATAGTTGGGTCCAGTTTAGATTTAATCTAACAGTGATTAAAATTACTATCATAAGAAACGCTTCGATGCAAATCTATAGATAGTGTTTAATTCTAAGAAATTGATGGATAATTACAGAAGCAACATCAACTTCAATTCTTTAATTATACCCAGATTATTAATTCTTTTAATTATATATTATACAATTTTTAAAATTAATTGTTTTCAAATTATTATTGATTTTGATTTTAATGTTAAAAGTAATCATTTTGAAACTACTTCTTTTTGTCCTTTAAAGTGAAAGTTTTAATAATAAAAAAATGAATTTGTTACCATAACTTATAGTTCAACTTGCAAGTTTGAAATTGACAATATTAAATAGAAAAAATGAAATTTTTAAGATTAATATCAGATTAGTGATTAAGATTAATGCATTTAGAAAATTTTATAATTACTATTTACATTACATTTATCAGAAAAGTTCGATTTTGTTTACAATTTTATTGTAATAGATCACTTAAATAAAAATCATCGTAATCATTTCTTATTAACTTTTGGTGTTTAAAAAAATTCTACAATGGAAATATTCAGAACTTAATTAATTTTAATGATAAAATTTGATTATAATTGTAAAAAGCCATCAATAAATTCAGGTAAAACTAAAAATCATTTTTTTTTAAGTTTATGATTTATATAGCAACATATTACAAAAATATGGAATATTATAGACTGGTAGTAACACACACAAATAGATTTAAATAATTACTAAATATACAAAGTAAAATATTTGCTTTAGTAGTTGAATACTTTTATCATACCAAATCTAAATCGACAATAAATACTTTAAGAATATTAGAAATTAATGATTTTAATTGTTTGTATGGAAAAAGCTGGTTTAGTTACTTTTTTTTGAATAAGGAAAATGGTTTCGATTTTTAAGAGTAATAACTTAAACTAAATGCGAACTGTAATCATTTGACGTATCGTTGAAAAAAGTAGGTGTAATGAGGTTTGGCAAAATAAATTGTAGCCACAAAAAGAACCACATAGTAAAATAATATTAACATGAATATAAATTTCTTCTCATGAGGGGAGACGATAGTGATAAGATCCTTTATATATATTGAAGTTATTGAATATAAATGAGATAAATATCAAATGANATATTGAAGTTATTGAATATAAATGAGATAAATATCAAATGATTTCAAAATGTTATTTTAACTCAAAAAAATTCAAAATATTAAAAGCCACAGGCGGATTTGAACCTCGTACCCTAAGCGTGAAAGAAACAGTTGTTACCCATTCGGCAACTGTTCGTTGTTTTTGTCGCATAATAAAATTGGCTATTTAAGCTAACTCAAATTTAAAAATTACTTTTTCGACTTTATGAACTTTATTATATGTCAGTTAAATTATATAATATTCATGAAAGTCAGTGTATTCCCCTAATAGGATATTTTAAAATAAAATAAAGTACAAAACCCAGAATTTTAATAAAAAAATAGCATATGTTTGAATACGGTAGCCATTTGCGCATAGAAGATACGTCGTCAGGACAAATTTTTTTTTAATCTATAGTACATGAAATAAGCTTTAATTTGATATATATTTAAAGGATACAGTATTTCCGGAACATTTTAAAAAATTAAGTTGAAAAAGTTAGTTTTTGTATAAAAGTTGCTATTTTAAATCCCTATTGTGATCAGAATAAGTGTTAGATTTTCAAAAAACAAAAAACGAAAGAAAATTACCTAAAGTTTCAATAAAAAAAAATATTATTTTGATTTGTTAATATTTGAAAAAGTTATGGCAGTTTTAAAAAAAAAAATGACAAAATTTACCGATTTTTAAATTTGTAATTTTTTTGGATATTTCACCTATTTGCGGGGAACGAGGGAAAATTCTTCAATTTTTTAGGTAATGTCTTCCACTAGTAACGATTTGTGATTTTTTGACGTATCATTGAAAGTAATCGGTTCAGTGAAAGCTGAGAAAAAGTAGTGACAGACACACAAAAAAAAAATAAAATGAAATAAATTAACACATCATGGTAAAATTAATACCTTCTCAGCTTCGCATCGAAGCTAATATATTCATTAAAACTAATTGGTGGTAGGTAAAACTTGTTGTTGGATACACATCGATCGAATATGCTGTCAAGAAAATGTGTTTTTTGATTATTCATGTTATCGTTGTGTTACATCGAGTTGTTGTCGGTTTTTCTCTCTATGTTACCATTGTCGCAGCCATCTTAACGCTTCTTCTGATATAAGCTCTATGGCGTTTTTGCGAGCTAGTAGTTTTGTATTCGTTTTACTGTAAAAAGAAAATATCACCTTTGCGATTATCGTACCCTGTGCGCTCACTTTTATCGCCGTTGGGTCTATATATTTTCTGAGATACATCACAATACCTTTGACAGCATATTGTACACTTTGGTCAACAACTTGCATTCAACAATTGATCCTTTCAATATTCAGCATTATCATCAGCCGTTTTCATTTAGTAGATAAGTATAATGCTTGTTCATTTATCTTTCTAAAACTCACTTGTATAATTTATTATTTGTTTATATCATCGCCTTTGAAGNGTATAATTTATTATTTGTTTATATCATCGCCTTTGAAGCATTAGTATTAAGTATCCTCCCCAATCCACATTGGTGTATATAAGATTTTATATTTATTATACAATACATTTAATTTTTATAATTATATCTTGTAAAATTCATTCAAAATTCAAACGTACAGTCCACTCATCTTATTCTTTATCCTCGACATAGCTAAAACTTACGACAGAACAAAACCACAAACGTTAACGAACCCGCGTGAATACCACCGGGCGCTGCGTTCATACAGTTGTTTTAGATTTTTTTTCTTTATAAAAAAAACAAACGAATATNTTTTTTCTTTATAAAAAAATCAAACGAATGTAAGGTGAATAATTAATAATGAAATATTTATATTCATTAGAGTGATACAAGAGTGTATATAATAAAAGAAATCAAATCTTTTAAAAATCATATGAAAAAGTTCTTATAAATAGATTTTTACATGTAATAATATGTTGTGATGTTATAAGCTGTTCGATTTTTGAACCCAATTGAACTCTTAGTGTTCACTGGGGTTCACTTTTTTTTATTAAAAAAATAGGAGAAATTAGATCTATAGGATAAATAATGTCAATACATTAGTTTGAATTTTATATACAGTTTAATCATAAGTTCAATACTTTAAATAAATATAATCATATACAATTTAAAATTAAGACAAATAACTATTAGTTTATAGTTAACTATAGTTTAAAAATTTACAATTGATTTTGATTGAGCTACAAATTATTTGATGGCTGAACAGAAATATGACCTCTAAAATTTGTATCATCCGAAGAAGATGATGAACCTGAATATGATCGACTTCTACTCCTAAAACGTACATCAGATGGAGTATACATATTCTTCTTTTTCTTATTCTGTTTGCTCTTTTTTACCTTCTTTTTCCTTTTTCCATTCACTACATCATCTTTCACGCGCAATGCTTGTGGCTGATGAGTAATAGTTGCTTCATCATCAGATGATGAGGATTCTATTGTAATTCTTCTTCGTCTTGAACTAGATGAAGATCCAATTCGAGATAAGGGCACAGGACATCCAGCTGTATCAGCTAGTGGAGGTGAAAATAATCTCCTTCGTCTAAGATTATACCTAAAATTAAAGAATAAAAATTGATGTACTACAAATAATATAAAAACAATTTATTTGACTTGATTAAAAAAATGGTAAAAAATAATTCAACAGAAAAATGATTTAAGAATTGTTTAATTAATTAATTTAAATATTGTTTGTTAGAACAGGGAAACTGTATTATGACTTTTCATAAATAAAATGCCATAATATAATATACAGTGTTTTAGACCTAACTAACATTTTACCTTAAGATATATTTGAAGATTTGTCATTTAGATCTGAAACACCTGTATATGGTAAGACCTTACCATTGTCATAAGTTATAATGACAAAACATAAGAAAATCATCACCAAATCTAAATATTTTTCATATTAACTTTTATAAAATAAAATAGTTACCTATTAGTAGGACGATCTAAGGAATTACGTATTCCTGTAGAAGTAGATGGTTGATCTCTAATTGACAAATCATATGTATCAACAGGTCTGAATGGTTGACTAAGAATTTCAATATCTGAATCTTCACTAGTACTCCTGCTTACCACAGTGACTTCTTGTGCATGTTGTATTCTAGTTGAATCTGAATCACTTTCAAAATCAACAATATTTGTACCGTTCAAAGATGGCTGTGTCGTAACATTAGTAGGTGGATTAACAGGAATTTGTAAGTCAATGGTCTAATAAAAAATAATTGTTATAAATACGATAAATTATGCTATATTCAAATATGTTTAAATGGATATTAACTTACATTTATACCATTTTGAAGTGATGGAAAACCTGGGCGACTATTATATCTTACATTACGATCATAACCAATCATATCATTTGGACTAGTAGCATAATTATGTAGCTCATGACAAAAATGATCAGTATATTCACCAAGAAATGGTCTTAAAACAGCAGTTGTAAATGATTCACGAATTTCATAATTTATAATTGTTTGCATAATTATATTTGTAATATAGTCTTCATCATTCGGATTATCAGATCTTAAACCTTCAGATCTTTCTATTTCTCTAATGGCCGAAATATCCCGGACAATAAAACCAACCAATCGATACATTTGAGCTGGATTATCTCTAAAAAAGAAAATAATAATGAGGATAGTAATTCATACATACTAATTACCAAAGTATAATTAATTTTACACATAATACTATTTCTTTGCGGTAATAATTATTAAAGAAAAATTAAAAGGATAGTATCAGATTTAATATTAATAATAAACAATACTTTTATTAATTATAACCTCTTGTGTACCTATAAAATGCTGAACTGCAATCTCTAAAGCGACCACTTAAATCAGGCAATGGTACAGCCCAAATATTGTCAGTATACACACGAACTCTCATAGTTTGACCTAAAAATCAAATAATTATAGGTTAGAAGAGTTACATAATATTTAAATAGATCTATATAGGATCTTTATTCACAATACAGTTGGTACCATAATAATAATTATGGTCTTATAACATTTTTAAAGTGCAAATATAGAAGAAAAACTTATTTGGGGGCATGTAAGAATAGAGAATGTAGAGTAGTAGGAAAATTCACCCCTTTACTACTCTCACTACCATAATTTTATATCAATGGTGAAAGTTTAAACTCTAAGAACCACCTGTAAAAATGTTTTATTTAAATAACAAGAAAACAAAGATCAATAGATGTAGAATTTATAGACATAATTGAGAACAAATAAAAAATACTTTTAAATCAAAATTAATTTTTAAAACATCTTTTCAAAAGATATTTCATTCTAAAGTCTAATTCACATTGGAGTCACATAATTACCATGAGTTTGGCGCCGTATAAGATGACCGTTAAAAACAGTAAAATTTGATTCCCCTGGAAATTGTCTTTGGTGATAATGAGAGTAACCACGATCTTGTTCACTTATTAGTCTTTCATTCCTTCTCACGAGATCCAACAATAAATTCATTCTGAAAAATCAAATTAAATTAAACATAGATTCCACAATTTTTATCATAATGGCAATATTGACTATTAAATTTTATTAGTATTTTTAAATATATAAAAAATAATTTATAATTATACGAAGTAAAATTTATAAAAATATGAAGCCGATGATATATTATTATTCTTAAACAACAAGTTTGTATGAAATCATAAAGAAATAATGAGTCATAATAAAAATCATTATGCAGGTTTAAAATATTAAATATAGCAGTTTATATGAAAAACATTTTTATATTTCAATTAAAATCGTATTTAACGTACCTATTAACATCAGCAAAAGGACGTAAAAATATTCTTTGTCTAAAAAAATAGAAATTTAATGAAATAAAAAATTTAAAAATATGCCATAAATTACTTACGATGCATCTCTGCCTTGAATAGGTACCTCATAAGTTTCATGAATGCCTTGTTCTATGAATGTATGATTTATAAATTTGAAACCTTTTTTACATAATGGACAGGATGATTCAATCTAAAAGAATTAATAATTAACATAGTAATACTTAAATGTGGGTTATTTTAATAACTAACAGTTGACCATCGTTTTAAACATTCAAAACAAAACACATGCCAACATGAATCTGAGTAGCATTTATTGTTTAATTCTTCAAGACAAATAGAACAATGCGTTTCAGGTGTTTTTGGCCTTTCTAGTTGATCACTTAGGTTTTTACCAACTTTTTTTGTTACTGCTAATTCATCATCATCTGAGGTATCTGACAAATCCACAACTGAATCACCTGATGACTCTTTATAGGATTCAGTCTTGTTATTCAATGACATATTACAAATTGCAAAACTATATTAACCTAAAAATATGTTTATTTAAGTGACAATGCATTATATAAAAAGAATGTTTTGGTAAATAATATCACAATAGTTATATTATTATTATTCATGAAAGATATAGTGTAATATTAGATATTTCTGACAACTGATATTTATCAAAATTTCAGAATAAAATAAAATTATAAAATGTGTTATTTATATAATTAAAAAGTAACCTTAATTTTATAGTACTTATCTTAAGTATTCATTCATAATAAATATATCATTTTACTTTCTAAATATTGACAATTATGGAACAACTGTCTTCGAGATTGTTTTCCAATTAAAAATATATTTTATATAATTATAGTCAATTATTAATTCATCAGCCAAACAAGTATAGCCTTATTTTAATAAAATAGAAAAGTATTCAGTTAATACAATTTGTTATAGAGTTCTTATAATAAAAATATTATACTTATATTTGATATAAATTCAGAAAAAGTAATAAACATTTAAAATAAAACAAAATACAGTACTTTGTTAATTTGTTTTCTTTAATCCCTCAAAAATATAATATGTTAAAAATATTTCAACAATAATTAATTTTAAACTTCAAATTTACTTACTACAAAAAATAATTAATAAAAGTAATACACTGATTTCTTCTTAAAATATTTATTGATTCTAAAAACCTAGCAATAAAATGTAAGTTTAAAACCTATTTGTTATTTATACAAAAATATAAATACTATCTGGTTAATTAAAAATGATTTAAAATATTTAAGAATCTGAACTTGAATCATTAAGTTGAAATTTATTGTGAAATTGTTATGAAAATTATAATAATTTTTTGGTAAACGATATTACTTAATAGGAAGTTTACTAAATGACAATTTATTTCACTTTTTTGTGGATTATCAATAATATTCTTGTTATAATATACATAAATTATTATAATTTTTTAATTTTACTTTTTTTTCTTAAAACTGCCATAACTATTTGAAAAATAAACGAAAACAAATAATTTTCCTTATAACCTTAGGTACATCCCTTTTATTTAATAAAATTTTTTGGAAATTTGACCCTCTACCTGCCCACATAAGTAAAATCAGAAATAGCAATTTTTGCACAAAAATTTAACCTTTAAAAATAATTCAAATACTTCGAGTTTCAAACATATATTAAAATAAAGCTTATTTTATGTACTATAAGTTATACTTAAATTATTTCTTTTTAATAACCAACGTTTTTCAAGTTTTACTTAAATTATAAAATATTATTTTTACTTAAATTTGTCATAACTTTTTTGTATTCGTATCGAAATCAATCATTTAAACAAAAATCAAATAATATCACTTGATGTAACTTCTGGTATTTAAATAGATGCTATAATTGAAATATTCAGAACTATATTCCGTATAGTAATTTCTTATATCCTATAATATACTAATATTCATAAATATTTCATTTATGATTTCATCCGCTGATATGTTTTTTAATTTTCATTTTTCCTATATTTTTTTTCATTAGTAATTTTTGTTTATTATTAATTTGTATTAATTTTTCAAAAAAGGCGATAGAATAAAATATAATTGCAGATTTGAAGTCGGCCTTAAAGATTGATTTTTTATTTAATTTTTTTTTTCAATTATTTATGCCTATACTTAAGATCGAACATTATAGTCATATAGTAGAGGGAGATAAGTACCTTGTTTAATCTCCCCTTTAAAAAAATAAATAAGATTGAGATCTGAATTAAAAGTATACTTAGGGAACATTTTTGCAGCTTTTTATGTTCATCCAGTATATATATTAAAATTTAAGCAGCTGCCCTTTCAAATAAAAAAAAAAAAGTGATGTTTTAATTATTGATGGCTATTGATCAATTATAATTTTTTTTTCATAATTGAAATCATATTTAACTTACAAGGATCAGTATAATTAAATTTTTTTTTTTTTTTTTTGAAATTATCAAAAATTTCATTTTTTAGGTTCAGTAAGGCAGTTTTTAGCCACCAAATATTTGATATGCATAATAAAATACTGTATCCTTAGTTACGCTGAATTAAAGTCATTTATCTACCTCAAAAAATGAAGGATTAAAACTACGGTTTGACCACCAAACTTTGATAATAGGAATGGTTATTTATAATTCATTAACTCTCAATAATAGGTTTAATAGTAATTAAAATGTAATATAAATATTATATCAGTTTTATACATGATTTACCTCTATATTCTAACAATTCTGAGTTACCTTTAAATGTAACTATATATTCAGGTTTATTTGATTTGTCTTTAATAACGTCAACCAAATTATTTGTCACGTAACTATTTGCAATATTTTAAGTTGGATGTCTGAAAGACAAATTAAAATATAAAAAGTGAAAGGACTATACGTAACAAGTCCAACAAAAGAGCAATTTATGTAATAAGATTTTAAATTATTTCTTACTTAATTATAAGTCACCGCTGTTTCAAGATTTTTTGATTTAAATATATCAAGTCGAGTCTTTCTGGTGAAATTAAGTATCTCTCTGGGTTTTAGTTTTTTAATATCTTCTTCTCCAGGAAAAGGTTTATTCAAGTAGTTTGATCTTAGTATGGACAAGGCTTCACATTCGCACATGATGTGAAATGAGTACTCTCTTCTACTCCACACTTCCTGCACAATGGTGATTCCGATACCCCATTGCGTTAAGATGCTTAAGCAGGTGACCATGTCCTGTCAGTAGACCAGTCAGGGTACTTATTTGATGTCTAGTCATGCTATTAGATCACCCAGCAATAAACCAGGGGTCTTGATAAACATTTTAGATTGTCTAGGTACTACCTACTTAGTAATTCGATATCTGTAGTAAAAGCATAGGTATATTTTTATGTTGATTGTTGAAAAAAAACCTATATGACGTAATGAGAATTGTATGATTTTTATCAGTTAACAAGTTGTTACAAACTTATACATACAATGAATGACTATATTACACTAAATAATAACGATACTATATTTACCCGACTACTGTTTTATTTGTTAAATCCCCTAAACTTTAAATAGTAATATCTCGCTTAGAATTTATTAAAATTGATTTTTTTTTTTGAGAAAATTTTTTTTTTTTATTATTAACAAGATTAATAAAAAAAAACTGGGTTGCTATTTGAAAAACTAAAGTTGATATTGATTTAAGAGTTGAGGGATGAAGATTGAATCTTCATTTTTCTTGTCAAGTAGTTCAACAAAGATTTATAACAAATAAAATAATTACATATACGATAATACTAATATTTTTAAAGAAAATTCGTGAGGCATAGTTAGTCGATCACCCTGTACATTATGTCCATGTGGAAGCAAGCAACTCAGCATTGATCCTCAAGAAGTCCGGCATGCTGATGAATCCCCGGACAGCCAGTTTATTATTATCAAGAACAAAACATGCACAGAAGAATTACTGGAAAGTGTATCAACTATCACCCAGAAATATATTTTAAAATTTTAAAAGCCTTGTATCTTTTCTTAATTCTTATTATACTTATTTTGTCTTTTAGGAAATTGAAATGAAACAGTGTGGTTCAAGTTCTGCATTAATAGTTACTTCATATTTAGTACTTTTATGTTTAATAACTGCTATATGGATAACGTAATCATCGTATTACAGCTGAATAACATAATCAGCAACTTTTTTTTTCCAAACTTTTTGTGTATAATATTAAATTTATTTTGTAAAATGATATAATATTTGTACTTAATTATATTTAAGATTAGTTGCTCTGACTTAATGCTGATTTTTTATTCAATTGGAGAGCGACTTCATTTATTATGATTTGTACTACTTATAAAATAATTTGGTAACATTAATTATTTGACATGCGTTTTTTTGTTCAATAATGCCTAATCATTAATTTTGTAAGAAATTTCATCTTATTTTTGTATAACAAAGGCAATTAAATAAAAAATATTATTATAATTATTAAGTTATTGTAAAAACGACCATAGACAATAATTTTGTAATTTTATTTATCATTTTGGTATCAGTAATAATTAATTTATGTAGATAATTAAGTGTATATGATTTTTTTAATTTAAATTATTTGTTCTATTTTTAATAATTAATAATTCCTATGATTTAAATTGTTTCAAAAGAGATTATTATATTTTCTGTTTTCTATGAGTGTACAGAAAGTTTTTGTAAATTATACCATTTAAAATTAATTAAACATTTAGAATATTGTTAAGGATGACTAGTCAAATGTAGTGTTATGTTTGCAATTAGTATATTTGGGTAATTGATATATTTTTTTTGTAACATCTGTCATTATTTTATAATTTTTTATTTTACAAAAAAATCTATTATTATTAATTTATGTAAATATAATATAATATGAAAGTCTAAATATATATTTCAAAAGCATTTAGAATTAAACACTGTAAAAATAAATGTGCAATTTTTTTTTATTATTTTAAGTTTACTTTAAAGTATTATTTAGATAGTAATTGTTCAAAAAAGGTAATGAATGTTACACTGTACAAATATCCATATATTTTAACTAGATACAAAAGTATTAGGGTAGACACAATTTTATTAGAATCATTTTCAATTAAGCAATCAATTACATTTAAACAAATTTAAGACTTCTTATTATAAATCAAAAACATATATTTGTTAAATTGATTAATTTAATAAATAATTTTAAATAATAATTTACATTAAATATTAATAGTTAATAAAAATAGCAAGAAAAATAAATATTAAAGATTTTAATTAATAATAAAGATTATTTAACAGTGATTACAGTTCAAAGTAGATTAATATTCAAAAAACAAAAAAAAATTAAGACTATCATAAAAAATTTTCCATTTATACTTAAAAATATATGAAAAGTAATAAATTTATACAAATAATTTATTAAATTAGAAAGACAGTCGCTAGTAGGCTTTTTGTCGACTTGCAACAACAATGTGTTTTGCCGCTTGTATAACGACTTGCTGTAGTAGCAATGCTCGCCACAACATAGGCGAGGTGTCACACCTATTAGATATGATTACCGGTCCATAGGTGAAATTTAATTTTGAGTTAATTAATAGTTTAATTTAAGTTAATATGTCGCTATATGTATAAATGATTATAATACCTAGTGGTTTATTAACCACAACTATGATAATTGAAGTTGTAAGTGATTGCAGATAAAGGATGAGGAGCCAACACCAATCTAACGGCTATTTCAAACGGCCAGTATTTTTGGGAGGGATCAATACCGATAAAGAATTTGATTTTAATTATATTTATTCTCTTTTGTCGTCTTATATAGTGGTCAGCAGTAAAAATAATGACTTGTTGACACCGATGTGTCAGAAAAAGGTTCATTCATGCATTCTCCTGCTCAATAAAATAAATAAGTAGACGTCACAAAAAATTATACACGGTCCACCTTAGAATTTGTGACGTTTCACAGTTAAAATTATTTTACTATAATTTTATTTTTGTAAAAAATGTTGCATTAAATGAGAAATAAATTCGATCAAATTGGTTAGATAATATGTGATAAAATATTACAACTGATTATTTAAAAAATATATATTTATGTAAAAATATTTGATTTACTGGGCTAATAAAAATCGTCGCAGCAAAAACCTTTTCTAATAAAAATTCACTTGTCTTAGAAATTAAAAACTGTAGATAATAGAAGTGCTACAACAATTTTTTTTATATTTTTGGTGTTCAGTTCAAATTAAAATGTATTACATAGGAATATAAAGTAAATTTAATATGAAAATAATATAAAAATGAAGAAAAAAAAATCGAAAATGATGCGGTATTATATACAGGATGACTGAAATCTAGTATGACTAATATTTTAATAATCTAATATTTTCTCAGAAAATATTGAGAATTTTAAATTTTATTATAGAAAAAAAATATCAAGTTCAAAAAACTCTACAATAATATGTAGTCAAGCCATTATTTTTTCGTCCCTTCAAGGATAAAACCCTTATTTATAATTTTCTTAAATGGGAACACTTATTTTTAACTTTATAATGTGATAGAAAAATTAATTTCATACAATTTTGTTCTTATAATTTTTTTTATCCGATTAACCGTTCGTCCGTTACAGCTTGTTAAGGTTCAGTGATTTTAGGCCAAATTTCTATTGTCATTTTACTGTATTAAATACAGAAGCCATTATTTTTATTTGTTCTTGCATAAACCAAATTTTATTGATTAAGATATGACAGGTAAATTAGCTATAAAAATGTACTATGCACTAATTAGTGATATTCTATACGGCAAGGATAACAGATGGACATACATACAAGGTTAAGTTAAAAAAAGACACAATGTAATATTTTAATATTCTATAATGCAAATTTCAAAAATAAAATCATTGCAAACATCGTGCCGATTGACAACCCGACAATTCAGATTACTCATACTAAAATATTTATGTTCTACTTAACTAATCATAAGCAAGTAAGTGTTTAAAAATCATAAACATAATAAATAAACTACATAATTATAACATATATTACATTACCCTTTGTTATTGTAAAAATAAGCCCTAATATTTTTCGTTATTTCCACAATAATTCGTTTATATTAAGTTAAAGCAATTTATTTTACTTCATTTCAACAAATTATTGCCGACCATTGAGTACTTTTTAGGCTTTTTTAATTAAATTTAGTTCATAATTTTAATAATCATATTTTATATAATCCGGTACAAAATTTTAATATTTCCATTTTTTTTCCAATTTGTTTAAAATTTAAAAAAAATTATAAATTATCATTTTAGCTTTTTATTAAAAATATAATGTTAACTTAAATGCATCGTCTGAATTGTATATGTTGACATAAATGTTTTCTAAAGCATGCTTCATTAAATTTTTTGTCAATAGAAAAAATAATAGTTATAAAAATGATAGTTTGCACAATTTTTGAACTTCTTTAATAATAGTTTTATTTTGTCAAATTATTTTTCGGTGTACTTTGATGTACTTTTGTAATCCATTTCTGTATTTTAACCGTTTACATTATCGGTGTTTTTTAATATTCCTATCTTTTCTACTAATTTTTTACTTTTGTATCTATAAATCGAATGCAATAGACTATTATCCGTACCATTTTATTCGATGATGAAAACTAGTTTGTCAATAGTTATACCTGTAAAATTAACTTAAAATTATAATTAAAAGTCTAATCAACATTTTATATTTCTATATCTAAAGATTATATTTTTACCTAACTAACTAAGACCATCTCACCACTTCTCCATGTAACCTATTAGTTCAGCACTACAACCACATGATACTAAATTCTTTGGGTTTTCAAGCGTCTATATATGAAACCAACCTAGTTGATAAGTGAGCTGTTAAATTTCTCCTGCTCTATGGGACACGAGTATTTTCTATTTGATAGTTAGTGTGGTTATCCATTCATTACAATTCTATGCGATAGGTGGGAAAATAATAATATTTGAGTAATAATTCAAGGCGAGGTATAAATTAATTGACTTTAATGGCACCACTTTGGATTTCGCGCAAATTAACTTTGATGTGCGCTGTCCGCATTTCTTGGTGCATCTCATATGTGAATTTCTATAATATTAGTTTTATTTTGACGAATTATTTAACGTACTTAATTTTTGTAATCTAGTTCAGTATTCTAATCATTTGTTTTTAATGTCATTAGATCATTCCACACTATTTTCAGAAACCATAATATCTGTAAAAATAATTTTTCTTGTACTACAACAGGCTCTACAAATCTTAATTGGTCAAAATACTTGCTTTCTCAGAAAAAATGTTTCTTTTTGAGAAATGTACCATTAAAACATCGAATTTGTCTAAATTTCAGTATTTGGAAAATTCCTATTGAAAAATCCTATTCCGATTTCCATTTCGGAGTTAAAAAACAAAACGCATTCAAACAAATCCTTAAAAAAAGAATGTCTTGGCATTAACATTTATTAAAAATTTGTAATAAATTCTGTGTGTATAAATAGTGGTCTTACAACATAGGTTTTCTATAAAAATAATAAATCAACTACTTTTTGAAAGGGGTAAGTTTAGATAAAATCAATTTCATACATGAGCAGCACTTTGATAGGAAGATAATAGTGGGCAGACACCCCAAAGAAATTTTTGCCCCACACTCGCCCGCGAGTATTTTGGTCATGAGAATACGACTATTAACTGACAACAGCTAGATAAAAAGTTTTATTAACACGACGTTTTCTTAGATATTATAGATTATTATTTATTTTCATACTCAACTGTTATACTTATTATATTTGTCAATTTCATGTTAATACTACAGAAAAGATATCGCCTATTAAAAAAATTATTAGATAACATATTATAGTGCACTATATGGTTATACTTTTATTTTTAAAATATTACTTAAGCTAACGGGTAGCACCACTGAGTATTTTCAACAATATAGTTCTTCATATAATGAACAATAAAATTATTATAATATTTGCTTATTGTATCACAGATTGTGATTTTCTTATAAAAAAAAAATTTCACTTATATGTATTTATTTGTAATTTATATTTAACATTTTTCACTGATAAATATTAAATTCATCACTTAACTTGTTTTTAATTAACAAATCAAAATTATTGTGCTTTAATATATTGACTTGTCTTTTATCTTGCTTGGTTTTATAAATTTATAAGCTATTAATAAATATTTTATTATTAAATTATCAAATTAAAAAAAATATGTAGATACCAAGAGTTGTTTTTAATAGTAAATATACACACATAACTCTGTAGCTGTATTAGTTTTTAAAGTAAGTAGTAAGGGATAAACACCATATCTATTTATGTGTTTACAATTATTGACTATTGACTTATCTATAGTCGCAGACTAATTATCACCAAGTTTGATAACTTGTTTTGTTATAAGATTGCCAATTTTATGATTTTTTTTTTTTGATAACTTAATTTAAAATTATGAGTTTACATTATATCAAAAATTGAATGCATTTACATTCACCATTCATTAAAGATAAAGTTATAGCATACATGAATAGTATTAAAATTCTAATTTTTGGTCAATTATAATCATCTATATATGTAAATTTTTGTATTTTTAATGTAGAAAACGATTTTATAATTTTTTAATTTCTAAGACCTATATTGATTACATAATTTACCTACACGTCTAAGTATATGGTACTTTTCGGATCGATCTGAAAGGGGCCAACATTTTTTTTAAGTTTTAAAAAATTGATAGTTAAATTAATTGTTGTGTTTATTATATGGTGTAAAATTTTTTTTTATTAATAATAAAAATTAATACCTTATTTTCACGTTTTTTTAAAACTAAATTTTGATTTTATTTTTATTTATTTCTATCAATAAAGATATCATTGTTACGCAGTATTAAGGCAGAAAAATAACCATACATGCTATTTATCAATTACATAATTATAAATTTATGATCTACAAGATAGATATCAAATGCACAAAATATTATTGAATTTTGTGAAAAGCAACTTAAAATTAACCATTCACATGATGATTACAAAGAATTATTGATGTTATGTTTATTGTGTGTTGGAAGGAAACACTCGGGAATAATTAGTTTTAGATCTCCTGGAGCTCTTCATCGAGCTAGATGGATGGCTAAAATAATATATTGCTTAAAAATTTATATGTTTCGAGACCAATTTTAATTGACACCTGATGAACTTAAAGGTATACAAGAATTTAATTTATTTATTTTAAAAATATATATACATTTTTGGTTTACATGTTGTTGTGCAGCTATTGCTCCTCAAAATGATCTTAATTTATTAACTCAACTTAAAGATTACAGTAAAATTAATAATATTATAAGTGACGTAGTTGTAAAAGCTTTTTCTGGTCATTTATGGTACCTCAGTGAAACACTTGTTGGACTAGCTTTTTTTGATAACGATTTAACAAATACAGAAAAACAAAATGGTAAAATCCTTAAATAATAAAGCTGAAGCTAATTACAAAAATCGAATTTCAATGAACTCATTTCAAGAAAACATCGGTATTCATCAATTTGTAACAGAAAATGCAAAACAATTTTTTTCAACACTTAGCATTGACTATAATTTTATTAATTATGACCCAGAAACTAGGCTAGAAAACGAAAGTTTCATTCATGGCTATAATAAAGTCAAATTCTTATACGTTGTGAATGATCCAGCAGAGAAAGGAGTAGCTTTGATGCCAATTTTAATAACTCCTTAACAACAGACGAGGAACAAAGACAACATCCTTCAAGTTGTTGAAAAACACAGAAGTGACTTTTCCGATGAAAAAAAATCATCTTTGACTTACAAAAAAAAAAAAAACCCAGCACAGGGGGGTCACGGCACAGTGGTGACGTGGTATAGATGGATCAAGTATAATGATATCTGACAGTGATTAAAATCACTATAAAAAAAAAACGCTTCGATGCAAATCTTTAGATAGTGTTTAATTTTATAAAATTGGTGGATTATTCCAAAATCTTCATTAACTGCTAGTTCCTTATTAATATCCTGATTAAGATAAATTATGTCGAATGAAAAAGGGATTATTAAAAAATAGAATTTCCCNATAATGGTCTGATTTAAAAAAATAGTATGTCGAATGAAAGATCTATATAAATACTACTTCTGATAAAAAAATTGTAATGATTCATTCATTTTTCAAAAAGTTATAGCATAATAAAGTTAAAAATGTAAAAAATAAATTGAGAATTTTCACACAATAATAGCATTTGGTAGCCATTTTCACCGTGAAGATAAAATAAAGTCCGAAATTTTTTTTTTCATGATAAAGCATATTACATTAGCTTTAATTTAAGATATATATAAAAGTGTCAGACCTTCCGAAACACTTTCAAAAATTAAGTTGCAAAAATTAATTTTTTTTTAAAAAGTTGTCTTTTTAAATCCCCCCCTATGGGCAGGTAAAGAGTCAGATATAAAAAAAAATATACCAAATGATAGGTAATGACATCATGCATTTATATAAAAAAGAATTATATTGATATGTTCATTTTTGAAAAAGTTATGGCACTTTTAAGTAAAAAAAATTGAGAAAATATCGAAAATTAGCGATTTGTAATTTTTTTGGAGGTTTCCCCCATTTACGGGGAACGAGGGAATTTTTTTCAATTTTTAAGGGTAATGTCTTCGACTAGATACGATTTGTGATCTTTTGACGTATCATTGAAAGAAATCGGTTCGGTGAGAGCTGAGAAAAAGTGGTAACAGACACAAAAAAAAAAACACATCTTAGTAAAACCAATACCTTCTCAGCTTCGCATCGAAGCTAAAAAAAATGAATAAATACAATTATTTATATCTGTTTGTTATTTTAGTGTTCTAAACATTTGTAATAAAAATTGTGGAAAAAATTCTATAAAAACCATTAAGTAAAAGAATTATATTTTTAATATTAAGTTAATTATATGACTTAATAATACATCATAATAAAGTATTAATTTTTATTATTAATAAAAAAAAATTTTACACCATATAATAAACACAACAATTAATTTAACTATCAATTTTTTAAAACTTAAAAAAAAATTTTGGCCCCTTTCAGATCGATCCGAAAAATATCATATACTTAGACGTTTAGGTAAATTATGTAATCAATATAGGTCTTAGAAATTAAAAAATTATAAAATCGTTTTCTACATTGAAAATACAAAAATTTACATATATAGATGATTATAATTGACCAAAATTTAAAATTTTAATCATATTTTAATAAATAAGGGGTATTTTTGGTAAAAATACGAAAAACGTTTTGAGCGACCTGTAAAAATTTTTTTATCGATCTCAAATTTTCAAAACATGTTTTTTATATATACTTAATAAATCTAGAGGGTGTCTGATAAAAATTTTTAAAGTCGATTATTTTTGCGCCATTGAATACATTTCATGGAAAAGAATGCAATTTATTCATATAAATGCTGACACGACTTGCATTATAATAATGCAGCCGACACTGGTTTGATGGTCGAGACCCGTGGGCTGATTATTAATGAGCAACAACAGGTTATTTAAAAAAAAACAAACCGAAAAGACGAACAGAGTTAATAATATCGCGGCACTTTCGCTGGTGTGGACAACGCGGTGTCCAACATGATCCTTGGGCGTCAAAAGGTTAGCGGAGTTGTTGGCGACGGTACGCGGGTGCGGATAGGTTCGTCGAGTCTGTCCGGGCGTGCGATACGTCCGGAGCCGGTAGCATACATACTCGACGTTGTCACTCTGACAACGGAAAAAAGACTCTCCGTATCATTTGCTGGACTTTGCGCATACTTTGTTATGGCACAAGGTGGTGGCCAGACAAGTACCCATAGTAGTGTGATGGCTGACAAAGGTGGCGCGGGTTGCGGGGCATCGTGTATGTCGAATCGACGCCGGACCGTGCACCCAGAGAAAAACCTCGATCTATATAATAAATTCATTGTTCAATTTGATAAATATATCATTGATATATTTATCAATATGATAATTATTTTTCTTGTCTTGAACAATAATTATTTATAAGAATAATTATTTTGTTCGTATAAATAAAACATTATCATAAATCCTTGATAAAATTTCTCTATCAAAATTGATTGAGGTTTTTCTTTGGGTGTGCCATTTTAAATATATTAATGTGTGACATTATTACTTCAACGAAATATTTTGCCGCGCTCCTCCTTTACCTATTGCCGTGTGATCAACTCGCATTTTAAGAAACCGTAATAATTGCACTATTTATTCACTAGCATTGAGACTCGGAGTCAAATAAAATTTTAAATCTTTTGTGTTCACTCCAAATACTATCGGCATACGTCTCAACTGTTGATAACAAAACTCGTTCATGTGATTGCTCTGCTGCGTAAGCACTAACTGATGTATCATTCGCGACTAACTGGTATTAATTCGACATATTATTATCATTATAATGTATTGTCTAGTATTGTTTTAAAATGTATTATTAATTTCGTATTCTATTCTATTTGAACCATGACCATGACCGTCTGATAAATAAACAAAAAATACAGAGTGACCAAATTCGGTAAGACACTCTTAGAAACGATTAAAAATTGTTAAAAAAAATTTTATCCAATCAAACGTTTTCTTTTAAAATTTGGATTTCAAGAAAAAAATTGTCATTGACTTAGTGTTATTATACTGGACTCGTGCCAGTAACGCATTTTATGGCATCGATACACAGTATTGTTATTATAAAAGGTAGTAAGGCATATTATTGTGAGTTTATAAATACACTAACTGACAATACAAAAAGTAAATCTATTGATAGTCATAATTGATAATAAATAATCCGTGACTGTGAAAACAATGTCATAAAAAACCAATTAGCTACTTGCTTTTGTAATTCCTTGTCTTTTATGCATCTATATTAACTAAAAAATTTGAAACTTTAAATGTTTATATCTAATAAGCAAATAAAGTTATATTAAAAATTCAAATGCCATTTACTATTAAATTAAAAACTCAAAAATTTTATTAAATTCAAAATATGTGTTCCCATTTAAAAAAACAAAGTTCAGACCTTTACCAGGCATAAGGCATGAACTTAAACAGTATTACATAGTTAATAATTAAAAATAATGTGTAACTAAAGGTAATAAAAAAAAAGAAAAAAATGTTTAAATTACGATCATTTTGTAAGTAATTGAGTGGTATGATAAAAAAATCACCCTGAATAGCTAAGGACCACCCTAATATTTATATATACATAGATATATCAATGTGGGAAGGGGGACACTTAAAATTAATGTCACAACGGCGTTAAAATAATAAAATTAAAAAATTAAAACAAAACAATATGTAGAATAATTACTGTGACAAACAGCCCCTTAATATTAAAGGGGAATGGCCTGTTACTGTGCGTTAGTGTTGTTTATTTTTTAGCAAACAAAACGATAAATAAACGAAAATAAGAGGGGTAAGAAAATAGGTACACCTGCTTATGAATGTACAAAATACGCAACTATATATTACAGTTCTGCAA